TAGGTGTGGACTTTGGGAGCCCATTCCGCATAGAGGAATACTCCCTGAGTCAGAACACATGGGGGTAGACCTAGGCCCTATCCCAAAGGCTATGCTATACTCTGATGACCCCCTATGGGAGGCCCCACCCTGCAGGGGGAGCAGAAAAGATATGTGATAGCTAGGGTTTGGGGGAGGTGGCAGGAGAGGAGGGGAGGGAGAGGGAACTGTGATTGTCATGTTAAACAATATTTTTTCAAATTCAAATAAAAAATCTGCAAAAAAGAGAACACATCATAAAGGAGAGAGAGAGAGACAGAGACAGAGAGACAGAGAGGTGGGAGAGAGAGGAGTAGTCAAATTTTTGGTTCTCTGGATTAAAAAAAATGGTTCTATGGTATCTATTTTATCCTAAATACTGGCATTGTAGTAAAGTGACTCAAACACTCTTTATTTTGTAGACCAAGATGGGAAGTGTGTGAGTAAACCAAGGCCTGGAACAGTGCATGGTGAAATCTAACAGCTGAAATGATAAGGATATAGATAAATGTTGCATCAAAGTAGGTGTTTTGAATTTTCCCATCTTAATGAGAGTGTCAAGGCAGGAAGAAAGGATAGGAGGATAATAAATATTTATTTTGGCATAGTTAGTGAAAGTGGCTATTAATTTAGAGCCACTCACCAGTCACCAGTTAAACTCAATGGGTAAATGAGTCTGAAGGTAGGGAAGGCCATTTTACTTACTAAAATTGAGCGTTTTCCTTGGATTAACTAGGAAGTGCTGTATTCATTTCCCATGGCTGCCATGAGCCCATATCGTAAACCAAAGTGCTTAAAACAACAGCCATTTATCCTCACAGTTAAGAAGCCCAAGTGTCCAGAATCAAGGTTTCAGCTCAGGGCAAGAAACAATCCCAAGCTTCTCTCCTATGTTCTGGTAGATTCTAGAAACCCTTTCATGATCTTAGCTTACAGCTGCCCAGTGGCAACCTCTGCCTCTGTTCACTCTCTATGGCTACATGTTTTCTGTGGTCTGCTATCTCAGTGTTGCATAGTGTTTCTCTCTTTATGTCTCTGCTCAAATGTCTTCTTATTGTATGAGGATGCCAGTAATAGACTTACATCTATTGTAACCTAGTATGATTATAGCTTAACTTGAGGTTATGTGTGGAAGGACTTGTTTGGAAATAAAGCCACATTCAAAGGCTTGTGGGGCTAAGATTTTAACATATGCTTTGTGGCATAAACAATTCAGGAATACCATAAATGCTTTTCTTATGCAAATCTGCATGTATCTCATGGACTAGGTGGAGTAAAAACAAAAGGTCTTCATGCCTTCATGGCATTGTCAAGAACTCCAATGGCTAACACCCATGAAAGTGAAAAAACATTACCTTGGTGAGGGTCAAAGGAATGGCAAAGCCTTCATCTGGTCCTGGTGCCAATAAGATTTTAACCTGAGATTTCTTCCATATACACAGAGCTTTCTTTACCTAGATAAGCCGAGCCTGTCTTCTTATTCATCTCTATATCATAAACCCACTTCCTCTATTCAGATGTATAAAATAAATGTTGAAGCTTCCTGATGCTGTTGATGCCCTCCATCAGACCAAGAACAAACCATTTGATCCAAGCTTTCTGTTCATGCATCTGTGTATTCTTTCTTCATTCTCTAATAGCCCCAGTTAAGTCTAACTATGAAGCCTTGCAGAAGCATCACACAGCTATGACAGAATTGATTCCTTCCAATGTTTTATACCCTTGACTACTCATACTAAGGCTACCTTAAGTTGTTACAGTAAAACCATTTCCATAGCAGTAAAAAAGACAAATTAAAAGGCATTGTTTTAGTACTACTAATGTCAAAGACACTCTATTTCATGATCCTGGGGCTGTGTGGAGATAAACTAACTCAACATAAACTCATGATCTTTATTCTTTAGTGTTCTCCACTTTTGTTTTCCTGTTGCTTAGCATTTTACCTTGAGATTGATTGTGTCACTGCTGAGGAGTGAATGTCTATGTCCTGAACAGATACACTGAACTTCTGCCCACTAATGTAATGGTGTTAGGGAGAGGTACTTAAGGCAAAAAGGTCATGGGACTTCCTATAATGCCCATCAAATAATAAATAATGCCCATTAAAACATTAGTCACTCACTTGATGCCAATGTGAAGTGCTTGTACCTTTAAGATCTGAGACATACTGGAGGCTTTAGGTCACTTGATGATCACTTGACAGGGATCATGGGCCCTTGGCATCTTTTTAACTCTCTTTTGTGTCCTGCCAATAAGCTGTGCTGTTTGCTTCAACAATGTCTTCTCAGACATGCTTCATCATACTGAAAAGCAATGAAACCACTCAGTTTTTCTTGGACCAAAACCACACCCATTGTGAAAGATAATATGCCTCGCTCTGTTGATTATCACAGATGTTTATTACTGTCCTGGGATGCTGACTTGCACACTGGAGTGTCATCTTGAATTAGCTCTTTGAAGAAGAAAACACCAAGGATGCTCTGTTAGTTTCTGTTCCCTGACCCACAAGGATACAATTAGAAAACAGTAATATATAGAACTAAAACAATAATCCATCAAAATGAGGCCATTGACAAGGCTCCATATTCCTTCATCCCCAACAGCGAGCTATACCCCAAGCCACATGGTTTTCATTTCATATACTTTTTAAAGATTCTTTTAAGGCTAATATTAGCTATCCTTACCTAAAAATCCAGTGCCTCATTTTTTTCTTTCTTTCTCAAAATACCCTGAGAAGAACTTTCTTTTCATTTTAATTTTAGAAAAAAAAAAAAAAACCTTTGTCTCAACATATTAAGATATATTTAGCTGCATAAAAATTTAAATCTATACAAAGAAAAAAAGCCTAGTCTAGAAAGCCACACATTTAGTATTATCAAAGAATTATCATCATAATAACAATGTGAGCAGATTTAAATAAAACACATGGAAGGCATTTTTTCGACATATTAAATTTGGAGAAAAAAACCGTCATAGTTAATGAAAGGAAGGCTGACAGTCTTGGAGGGAACATTCTACAGAAAAGGATAAAATGAGTACTTACTGAATCCCACAACCACCTCATTTTCTTTTTATTTTATTCTTGAACAGTTTCATACATGAATACAGTATATTTTGATTATATATACCCCTCCCATATTCTCTCTTATTCCATTCAGTCCTTTTCTTCCCAAGTTTATTTCATCTTTTTGTCTTTTGTGGGTAGAAGTCCCCAAGAGTTTATAGGTTCCTGGCATGAGCACAGATGAGAGTTATCTACTAGAGTAAACCACACTACTGAAGAAAATAATCCTACTTCCTTGGTAGTCATTAACTGTCATCCTGAAGATGGTTTAGGCCTGATGGGCCCCTCCTACCCATGATAGAATGTGGAAAGGCCCATTCTCATGCAAGGACTTCTAATCCAGGCAAACACAGTGTGAGCAAAAGCCATGTTATGTCCAAGATATACAGTTTTGCAATGCTCTTCCCCAGGCTCTAGCTCTTACATTCTTTCTTACCTCTCTTCTGTGATGTTCTTTAAACATTTGGGGTGGGAATATAAACAGCAGCATATGTAGGACTAAACATTTAATTGTCACTGACCTTCAGCCCTTTCACCAGGGCTGCGTTAATCACCACCCACTCCAGAAAGCAGCTTCTCTGAATTGGGTATGAGATGCATTAGAACAGAAGGCCTTTATATGTTGTGTTCTTCAACGTATTGTATGAAAGGTTTTTAGAGTGAAGAGCTAATAACTTCATAAGACCTTCTGTCTTTTTAGTCTTCAACAAATGCATCCTCACCAATTTATGAGCAATAACTACATTATGCACGTTTTCTTTACTAACTGTCTTAACCTTTTTGGTCTGTTGCCATTTCAGATTTCTTTGAAATACACCTTTAAAAAGTCAATAAAGACAAGAGAGACAGTGTGTTCTGGTCTAATACAGAAGAAAGTAGGATTCAAAACTTGCTGGTTCCTACCCCGGATCTTATAAGCTATGGAAGATTCCATTACCATCGTACCTTCCTCATCTACATAGAAAATTAAAATCTCTTGAGGATTCACTCTGGACTGGCCATTGTGAATATAACAGAAATGATCATGTTAAATGAAATTATGTAATTTTATGATGATTTAGGTAATCACAAACAGTGTATTTTCTTTTTATTAACTCAAATCCCAGAGGCTTAGTGTGTGACAGGTGCCTTGTATTTGGACTGTAGCCTGTCTCCACAAAGTTCAGGAAGATAGCAACACTGGAATTATTATCCAGACACTTGATAGAAATGCACAATCCCAGGTTACACCATAGACCTAATAGATCAGATGTGGTGTTTTTAGCAGGTTAGCAAGTTCTGTGTACATTAGAGTCTGAAAGTCATTGGATTAGATAGTTGACAAAAAGTCACTTAAACTTGAGGTGATGTCCACACTAATGAGTGTTCCTAGCATCAATGCAAGGACTACAGTCTATACCTTCTTGGAAGAGTGAGTTTCTAGAGAAATGATTTCACTTACCACTTACCAGAGTAGTTGCTGCCTATAGTGGCTGTGAGGATTGTCAACTGTCCTTGATAAGCAGTTTGTACAGGACCGGACACATTGGAAGGTTGCTCCATCATTGAACAAACAGTTACTGCAAACCCATTACATGTATGCCACAGATTACTTGGAACTCTACATGGAGCAGCGAACAGCAAAATCCCTGCCTCTGTGAAGCTTACACTCTAACAAAAGACATTGGTAGTAAAATGGTAGACACATGAACAATAATGCAATACAGTCCTGTTACATAGTGACCTTCAGGATGGCACCAAGAGAACAACAAAAATGCAAAAATTCAACAGACATCTTCAGAACAAACAAAATTAGTCAGTTTCTGAGTTTTCAATTATTACCTTGGTATCAAAAAGCAAAGTTCCAGGAATAGGGTTTGGTAGAATATGTTACCTCAACTTTTATATATATATTTTAAGAATCTTCTCTTTTTACTAGAAACACAAAGGACTTACTCCAGTGAAGATAATCCTTGGCCCTTTAAATATTCAAGGTAAAACTTCTTGGGGGAGGTTTTGATTGCTGTTGTTTTAACAACTTGATTTCCTTACTTCAATTTGGATGCTGAAAACTTATTATGACTTACTGTCTGATTCAAACAAACAGACAAACAAACACACCCTCAGTCACTAACCCTGTAAGTGTAGAAAGCATGAATATCCCTCAGTTGGCATCCAAACAGAAGCTACAACACTGAGAAAGTAGCATGGCAAGGCTCCTAGGTCTAGTCTTTGCAACTCAGAAAAATCTCCACCTCACCTTCAAAAGAACAGATAGTTGTGTTTGTCAGTAGCTGGCTGTGTTCCAGGTGGTCCTCTTGCCTAAGAATTCCTGTCTCTGCGTTTTGTAGATATTTTTCTTCATTTCCTTTTGTCACACAGTAAACAAGGAAACAAATAAGTAATACATGCTATCAGTAGCATGAAATAGTTTCTATCTTTCCACACAGATGGCACATCCTAACAATGGGAAGATGATCTCACAGCTAAAGAGCTTTGATATAAAAGGTACCGTAGGAAAAGGAAGTTATTATTCTTAGTTACAATGCCCTAAAAAAGAGGATTTGCCATCTAAATGCTTGCTGAAACTTAACTGCAGAATTGCTTATAATGCTACAATCAGTTGAGGCCAAATTCAATAAAAACTCCATCCGGCATTCACACTGAGAAGATCCACATGTGCCTTTAATTCTTTTTTTTTTTTTTTTAATTTCCTGGGCTTCCGGCCCAGAAATTGAATGGAAATTTTATTTAAACCTGCTCTTGTGTATCAACTTTTGGTAAATATCAGGTTTTCAGTTGACTCACATTATGCTTTACGTTCTGAGCAAAGGAAGGATTTGAAATGATGACTGCATCCCGATATGCATGTATTTATGTATGCTTTACCTATGCTGACCTAGGACTGGGGTTCATGTTTAATACCCATCATGGCTCCTGCAAATGTGGGGATGCTCCTGCCTCCTTTTGCTGTAACCATAAGATTCAAGATTTCATCAACATGCCCCCCCCTTGCCAGTACTGATCAGCTTTCACCAGCAGAGGCAAAGCAATATGAGATGGGAAATTGCAAATTATGTGGAGAGAGCCACACAGGGTTGAGGTGTAGATTTCTTGGTCTAATTCCAAGGAGCTTCTCTGCTGTCTTTCTCACTGTTGTTTTGGTGATTAGGGTCAGTCCCTTCCCAACTGTTGAGTGTCCCTTTTTGTCCCATTGGATAGGACATATAGGTGTGGTAGAAGCAAAATGCATTTTGAAAATGCATTAAAAGAAGAGGCTCGTCTGTGGATATGACAGTAATGGTAGCTGGTATGTGCAAGGCTTGAGCATAATTTGCATGTAAAGTTTTTCTCTGTTCCTTCCAGAACATACCAGTGCTGCCCAATAAAACATTTTGTCACACTCCGAGGGTTTGCCAACATGTTCTCAGATTGCAAGCAAAGAGATTATTTACAGTAACCTATAACAACTGCTCTGACCATAAACCTCCTTTTTTTTTTTTTTTAACCTGTGCTATTTTTTTTCCTTCTCTAAGTAGAGAGACCCTAAGGAGTTCAAATTTACTGCAATTTAATTCTGATGGGAGAAAGCACATTACTTTTATTTATAGTACTGTCTCTGTACCGTCGCCTCCCCCACTTCTTTAAAACATAAATAACTCCACATTTTATTACTATTATTTTTAAAATCCAGCCATTACTCTTATAGGGAGGAGCAGTTTCCTGATAGTGAGAGGCATGGCAAAAGTAGCCAACACGTGGGGGAAGTTAGGGACTATGTGCCCAGGCTGCTGTCTGTTGATAGATAAGAGAGCTTTACTATTGGAGCATTTCAAGGGGAACTCATCTGCATCTAAGTTAGAGGGAAGCCATTTGTTTTTGATTAGGGAAGGGCTGGGGCCAGTAATCTAGTGGGAAGCTCTGCCTTGCTCCACGGGAGACAGAAAGGGTTCCATTGTCTTCTAAAACCCCCTTCAAAGCTTCCCCTTTTTTTTTTTTTTTTTTTTTTTTTCTGAAATGCAGGTAGCCAATAACTGTCTCTTGAGAGAAGTGGAGAAGAATGAAAACCTCTCCCCAGGAAGTCCTCTTTCACGTCTGATTTGCCAAGGGAGCTGTCCTGGATGCACTCCTGCTTGGCTCTGTCTGCAGGAGCTGAACTGAAGGGGGGCGGGTATGATTCAGGGCTGCACTTGCTCCAAACTAATTTAACCAAGAGAACTATTTTTTTTTTTACTATGAAGGGAAAATAGCCTGATAATAAAAGTTAAAAACAATGTACAGAAATATATCTACACAATGTGTATTTGGTCCTGGGCATCTCATCATTGTGAATACATATAACGCGCGCGCGCGAGCGAGCGTGTGTGTGTGTGTGTGTGTGTGTGTGTGTGTGTGTGGAGAGAGAGAGAGAGAGAGAGAGAGAGAGCGAGAGAGAGAGAGAGAGCGAGAGAGAGAGAGAGAGCGAGAGAGAGAGAGAGAGCGAGAGAGAGAGAGAGAGCGAGAGAGAGAGAGAGAGCGAGAGAGAGAGAGAGAGACAGAGAGACAGAGAGACAGAGAGAGAGAGAAGCCAAAGAGTATTCCTCCACCCCCATTTTAAGACAGGGTGTTATTCTTTAGTCCCGGTTGGGGTTGAACTGTTGAACTCACTAGTCATGATTTTCCTGTCCCTATCTCACGCCACCATGTGGACCATAACATTATCTCTTGAATTTGTAGCCGCCAGTGCTATTAAATGACTCTGATCTGTAGCTGCTACGTTATGTACCGTTATACGTCTCCACTCTTTTTTCTAAGTTATTCACCGAATGACTGACAGGTATATGATCCAGGTGTTTTCACTGACAAATTGTACTATTGTACAGTTTCTTGGTTGAACTCAAAGGCTTGGGATTTCAGGAAGTTCAGGTTTACACTTAGATTATTCAATCCAGTTTTATCTCTGTATTTAGGCAACTAAAAATGACCAGGACGATTTCATGGGTTCCTTGTAAAAAAAAAAAAATGAAATTGGGGTCAGTTTCATAACTGAGTCATTGAAATCTTAGCAAATTAAAGGAAGTCTTTATAGCACAATCACGGAACAATAATAAAGTTGGAGTTCAGTCTAGGGAGGTGAATTCTTGTAAATACCGCACTCCACTACCTGGTCTGTCTATCCGTGATTCCCTCCTTCATTGCCAAGAGTTCGTCCATCCATTATCTGTCTATAGTTAGCCCTTAATGATAAGATTGGCAATTTTGCGCACGTGTATGTGAGCTCAGCTGTAGGAAGATTCCTTAGAAATGGCAATCCCTGCCCTTAAACCGGTGCTACCCAGACGCCAGCTGCTACTCAGGAGGCCACCCAGTGGTGACTCGCTGATGGCCGTCCATCCCGCTACACGGGGCCCCTGCTGAGGCTGGACACACGTGGGCTCAGGCAGCTGGGGCTCAGGCAGCCTTCGGTGGCGGCGGGGCGCGGAGGCGCAGGGGGTGGGTGGTGGTGCGAGCAGC